AACTATTATCATCCTCACTCCCTCTTTCCACCATGAAAATGCCTCAACACATCCACCATCCCCACCAAATTCTCATGGCATAGGAACTCGCCTGAAAATCCTCTCTACTTCTCTGTAAAAATCATGTGCAAAAACATGTGTTCTTACTCTCTCTCACCCTTGACGTTGCCATTCTTGCTCCTCGCTAGAATGGTTGCTATCAAAATCATGACACCCTCATTGGTAACCGCTGTAGAATACTCTCGTGGCTTGTCAACCAAATTCACATCACACGGTATTTAATATATGTGGTTTTACAAATCATTGATTCCTAGCCTGCATTTCCAAAACCAAAATCACCTCCCTAATGCTAGTGGATTCTTAGGAGCAAGAGAGGACACAGACGAAGGTGGTTTGATGAGAGAGAGTAAGGATCAATAGTGAAGTTTTGGAGGAAGCCAAGCAAGAAGAGAGATCGATATAAGGGTATTTTGATAATTGAGTATTAAATCATAATTACATTTAAGGGACTTGGGACTTACAGGATATGTTAAAATTTTACAAGACTTTATTGTATTTGCATTTCTTACGTGAGACTTTATAATAATTCTCTCTATATCTTTTCCCCTTAACAAGACAACTCCATAATATGATAATTTTTAAACAATATAATTCATTTCGTTCTTCGTACAAGTGATGGGGGCTTTTTTATCAAAAAGCTATATAAATAGTAAATAAAATTACTTAAATGTTACATTATGGGAAGTATTTACCTAAATATTATACAAAAAATCATTCAGACAAAAAAAGAGTTTACATTTATGAAGAACTTGTTCACGAAAAGAACAATTTTGTGATTAGAAAATTTAACATTTAATTTTTTTAATGAAAAGCAAAATCATTCACTTAGTGAATGAGTTCAACTTTTTTAAATGTTAAAACAAAATATTCACTACAAAATTGCGACCCATCATTGCAAGAATCTCCCTACATGTTTTCCCTTCCCTATTCTTATTATATGGTGGTTGCTTATTGATCGAACCATCAATTGAAAATAAAAATGTAAGGAAACAAAAAGGTCAAAATTTTAGTCAACCTCATTACATGCCACTTTTATCATTATCTCTTTTTAACTCATCCATTCTGACTTTTGGATCATTCATCTCTTTATTTAATGATCCATGAATATCAAATTTTTTTACTAAAAATTTGTTCTTTGTGTGAATGAGTTATTCACAAATGTAAACTTGTTCTTCATTTGAATGATTTTTGGTATAATATTTAGATAAATACTTTCGATAATTTTATTTATTGTTTATATCACATTGATAAAAAAAAGCCAAATGATAGGACTCAGATTGGCATTGGGTCCAAGCTTAAATGAATTTTGAGTGTAGAAAATTTTATGATACAAAAATATTAAATTCCTACTGCTAGCTTTATAACCTCATACTTTTAGTCTGAATAAATTACAGCATTTTTATAATCTGACTGTGAAGCCCAATGCTACACACTATTGTCTCGAGAGAATTTATTTCTGTCCTTATCTAAAAAAAATTGTGTAGAGTACAAACCATCCTGTGAATATTTATAATTATCATGGGGATGCTAGCCCACTTGGATTCGTTTGATTTTCTTATTTAATATTTTTAGTGCATCAATATTCCGCATTTCGTTTTCCGGTGTCATGTCATGTTTGTTTTTAGACTACTCTTATAAATCTTACCTCAATAAAATAATTATTTATTTTTAAATTAATTTTATTTTTTTAAATTTATTTTTATTAAATATATTATAATAAATATAAAATTATTTATCAATAGAATACTTAAAAAAAAGATAATAATTATATTTTAAAAGACTTAAAAAATTTATATTTTTTAAGTATCTAATTTTTTAAAAAATATCTTATATTTTTTTAACAAAAAAAGCATAAACATTAGGCCAAAATTTTCATGTTGCTGGTTTCTATTATTGTTATATTATTCTTTCTCACTATAAAATATAAATAATTTTTTAAATTATATATTAATAAAATTCTCATTCTCAAAATAATATATATATATATATATATATCTCTCTCTCTCTCTCATTGTTAGTTCCTATTACTAATTCATTTCATAAATAGTGAGAGAAAAATTTATAGTAAATAAATATAAGGAATAAAATGAAATTTTTTATATGTACTAAATTGCTTATATTTTGAACTAATATGAGTTGAAAAAATGCTTATATTTCCGATTGGAGGTATATTTATATTATTATTATAAATTATAAATTTAGAAAATGAAAAAATTCCATTAAAATTATACTTTCCATGGTGTTAATGAAATTATACTTTCCATGGTGTTAGATCAAACATAAAATTTGATTATATTCAAAACTATATTAAAAAAGACCTGAAAATCATAAACCATTTAAAATAATCACAAACATAGGATTTTTTTTATTTCAGATTTACAAAATATAAGTTCCTATTTTTTTCATAAAGTATAAATTTATTTTCTTTTTTATTATTAATATTTATTAAGTTATTTTTTTGCATGCCCTACAGTTTTTTTGGCCTCCTTTTTGCTCTAAAAGTTAAATCTTGCTGCTTCACTGTTTCCCTTGAATTATGAGATGATTTACATATTTTAAAAATCTAAAAATTATATGGATGCAATACTCTACCATTTTTTTTAATTTATCTATTATGAAGAATTGTGATTCATCGCCTCATTTCCATTTTTAAAATTAAGTCATGAAATTTCTCGTAGAATTTCATACGTGTTGTTCACTGATTACAAAATAGATAAATTAAAATTTCAACACTCACGAGTTTATATACATTTAAGTTGATATTTTTTAACAGTAAAAATTAAGATGAATTGCTCCAAAATTTATTAGACCTTTAAGTTAATAAGTTTTATTCTTTTTAGAGAATGACCAAAACTCAGAATGATAGTTAAAATTAAAGGGGGGAAAAAGAAACATAGCTCATCAGTATATTCTAATTCGTGGATACGATTACAATAACTCGAGAGTAATATTTTTTGGGAATGTATAATAGATAATTTGATCAAGACATTTTTATATTTAAAAGGTAAATTTAATTTAGAAAAAATTAATCTTGGTCCATGTAATTTTAACTTAATTTTTATAGTTTTAACTTATTGTAACTCAATCTTTAAACTTTACCTCTTACAATTCATTCTTTATAATTTTAACCACTTAAATATTAGTTCATATATTTTTTAAAAAATAAAATTATAAAGATTATAAATATTTTAAAATTTTAAAATTTATAATATTTAAAGATTAAAAGACTAAAATTATAATATCTTAAACTTTTAATATTTACAATATTAGTAATAAAATTATAAAGATTAAAGGAAAAATTAATCTTTTAGTTTTTCAACTTTTAATTTATTTATATCTTAGTCTCTCAATTATGACTTGCTGTGACTTAATCTCTCAACTATGACTTGCCTATAATTCAATTTCTCAACTTTTGAATCACTTACAAATTAGTCCCTTAATTTTTGTTAATTTTTTTATATTAGCTTATATCCTACATCAATGAGCAAGAGGAGGGTATTTTAAAATAATATATGAGCATTTTTTATCCCTCTTATTTGATAAGTTTTTTTTTAAAATTAAAAAATAAGAATTGAGTTATAAGTGAATCAAAAGTTAAGGGGCTGAGTTGTAATGAGTTATAGTTGAGGGAATGAGTCGTAGTGAGTCATAGGTGAGGGATTGAGTTACAAGTGAGTTAACAATTGAAGGATTAAAAGATTAATTTTCTCAAGATTAAAATTATGTTAACATTTATTACTAATATTCTACATTATTAAATCTTTTTAATCTTTATAAATATTAAAATTTTAAAATATTTTAAATCTTTATAATTTTATTTTTTAAAATATATGAACTAATATGTAAGTAATTAAAATTATAAGGATTGAATTAAAAGAGATAAAATTTAGGGACTGGATTACAATTTAGTTAAGATTATAAGAATTGAGTTATAATAAATTAAAATTTAAAAATTGAGTTATAATTGAATCAAATTATCTAGATTAAATGATTAATTTTTTCTTTAATTGAATATTTTTTTAGCCAGCAAATTTGGTGTAACTTGAAAAGTTGATAAAGCAGATAACACAAGACGTAAAATATTCTAATATCACGTGGCTACAAGTTGATCACAGCGTTCTGGCAATTGTTAACAAAGTGAATGATAAAACAATAAAAGGCTTGAAAAAAAACACATGTTAACAGAAAAAAGGATAACAAATGACTAAATTCTAAAAGAAGGCATACGGACATTAAAATAAATAATGTGATCTAGTAAATTATTGTGCCTATTGGCAACAAAAGTGAACACCTGACATAGTACTAAAATAAATTATCTAAAAATAAATTATTAAGATTAAGTCTAGCAAAAAAAAAAAAAAAACTAATTTTTCACCATGTGAATATGTGATGAATAAGATTGAAATTCCTGACTAAAAGAGATTTTATGTTTAGTGTGGATCATGATTTGATAGTTTCCAATAAGAATATTTGCACTCAAAAAAAGGGAAAATCACATAAAAATATTATTAAAATATATTATTAATAAATAATAACTAATAACAAGTCATTATTTATTAAAAAATTTATTTTTTTAATAACAACCAATTTCTTATTAACCTTTATTGAGAATAATATTTTTTTATAGTTCTTGTGTGTAATTAAAAAAACAGTACTGGTATTAAAAATAAAAATAAAAAAAATATAATTTGACTATTAAAAAAATGACTACTAATTCTGAAGAAAAATATATACCTTAATTTTTTTTGGCCGAAAAGATGTAACTTAATTAATAATAACAAAGTGACCAAGGAAATGAATGTTGACGCCAGGTTGAGTCCTCGGAGTATCACAACGTGTACATCCGAAAATCTTTAACCTAAATCTTAACTGAGAAATTTAGTTTTATATTATTATTTGGACGCCAAATGACCATTAAATACAGTTCAATCCTCCACATTCATCCCAACTCCATTCGCACCTATTCTTCTCTCTCTTGTTTGTCTTTCTCTCTCTCAATCATTCTGTGTTCCTTTTCACTCCTTAGGACCAATCATCGCTCCGCTCTTGCTCCTCATCATGCTCTTCCTCTTACAAAAGATTCCCGCTGGGGCTGCATCATGAAAGCAGAAGGGACTGTGCCTTCTATCCTTCACTTCTTTCTACTTTCTGATCGTTGAGAATAGGTTTTTTTTGGATTCAGTTGGATATCTCTTTGGGTTTTGAATTTCCATCGTGCTTTGCTGTTTTGTCCCTCAACTCCATCTGTGTTCTTTCTTAAGCTCTAGGGTTTGCTGATTTTGTATCCTCATTTCCAGGTAATTTGGGGCTTTCTTTTGATTAGGCCTTACTTTATCTTTCATGTGCCAAATTTTGAGGCTTTTGAACACTTTTTGGTTTTGATCAAATTGATCAGTGAACAAGTGCAGCTGAATTTACTTTCTATTTCTGGGGTGGGAATGGGAGCAAGTTTGAGTGCTGCGGTCATGATGATCACGTGTTTTCAGTCTATGTTGCTCTGAAGTCTTAAATTGCTGGAAGTGTTTAAATTTATGATCTTGGGACGTCGGTTACCTATTTGTTCTTGTCGAGAAATCGTTATTTACTTGTTTTATTTTTTGTTAACTGTCCATCTTTTCCTCTAAAAAATGTCGAAAAGGACGGCAGTTTGAGTTTCGGAAATTTCATATTTAAGAGCCGGATGTATGGTTAGACATTTCACAGTAATAGCTCAACTGCCAGCGCTTGTTAAATTTGGGCGGGTTCCAGTTAAAGTGTATTGAGCTCATGCTGTTTATTGTAAACGTCATGACTTCAGAACTATATTGGTGACCAGGTTCCACATCGCCTTTTTTTTTTTTTGGCAGTGAGACCAGCTGCCAGGAATCTAAATTAAAAATGATTTTTTTGGGGTGGTTAGCAAGGTCTTTGGAATTAGTATTGGGAATGAATTCAGTCATATTCTGATGACACATTCACTTTGCTTTATTGATGGAGGAAGATAGTGGTCGCTCTCTGTCCTCTTTCCCAATCTATCATCCAACATGAAAGTAATCTTCATATATATTTTATTGCAATAGTGAAAATCAGAAAACCATTGAAATTTGTCCAATTTTATTTTCATACTGTGGAAGGACTATGGAGGATAGTATTTCACTTGGAGTTGCATCTGTTCACGCTACATTGACTCCATTGAATGAAGTTGTATATGAACTTTTATATCAATTACTGGATCTGTCTGTTGATTCGTGACAACTGTGTAGAGAATACCTCGGTTTTATATCTTTTCGAAGCATATTGTTATTTGAAGCATGAAGCTAGATTTTCATAAGCACTTGTTGCGGTACCGTGTGCCTCTGGTAGATTCCTGTTTATGTTTTTAATGATTTCCTTCACAGAAGATGCATCTGTCACAGTTGAGTTTTTACACTTGTATATGTATGCACATTTATGGGGGAAATGGTAGATTTTCATTTGTTCATGGAAAATCAATGCGTGTGTATTAAAATCTCTATTACTGTAGATGTATATATTTTAAATTTTCCTGTCTGTGCATTTAAGGCTGATGAACCTAGTTATTTTAAAAATGAAATTATAGGTTTTTCCTTTACTAGTGTCATTGTGCGTAGTATTTTTCTTTACCAATAGCTCATTAGTCTTGTAGATGTTGAGTTTTCTTACCTGAATGCCACTATTAGCAGTTTTTCAAGTTATTTGATGGTTGACATATCTTTTGCACTGTCACTTGTGGTGAAAGAGAAAATAACTGAAATTTTGTTCTCTATTTTGTGTCTGATGCAGCGGAGCAATGCAATGAAGCAGTCTTTTGACATTTCAGCTTCTGGTATTTCTCCTAAGTCTTTAATTTTGTTTTGATTGTCAACATGAGTATGAGATTTTGTTAAATATATCCTTTGCATTACTGCTAGGTCCAACCAAGATTCCATCTATAAATATTCCTAAAGAAGTGGGACGCAACGCTTGGGAGGTCTTATCTGGATCTGATGCCTACCATGCCTCATCGGATGCTAGCCTTTTTTCTAGCTCATTACCTGTTTTGCCACATGAAAAGTGTACGTATTGGATGCTTTTTTAAAAAAGGTTGTTATTTGTGTGCTCTGTTTGCTACAAAATTTATTGACTTGTTTCGGCTTATCTGTAGTGAACTTGAATGACACTGAAAATGAGTATCAGTCTGTGGATGTGGATGACATCTCATCTGGCTTTAACAAGCTCCACCAAGATTTAGAGGTCAGTGAATCACTTGGAGGTCCAAATATTCATACACTTGGAACAATGCTTCCAGATGATGAGGAGGAGCTTTTAGCTGGCTTAACAGATGATTTTGACCTGAGTGGTTTGCCTGGTTCCCTGGAGGACTTGGAAGATTATGATCTTTTCGGTAGTTGTGGAGGTATGGAACTGGAAACTGACCCACAAGAAAGTCTTACAGTGGGCATTTCAAAATTAAGTTTCTCTGATAGTACAATTGGCAATGGTTTGCCCCATTTTTCTTTTCCTAACGGTGTTGGAACTGTTGCTGGGGAACATCCGTATGGGGAGCATCCTTCTAGAACATTATTTGTTCGAAATATTAATAGTAACGTGGAGGATTCAGAATTGAGAGCCCTTTTTGAGGTGAGTCTAAATTTGGGGAGCTCAATGTAAACATTGATACCAACTTTTGTGTGACAATATTGAATAATGTTGTGAATATGGCTTGACCGTATCTGTAATTCATAATTGCATTTGATGGATATCTTTGTTGATAAAGCGATAAGGATCTTTGTAATTTAGACTTAACCACAGTCAAGCTCAATGCATACTGAATGATGTTTGCTCTTGCCAATGCCACTTTTATAGATCCTTCCTTTGGATCGGTCATGTTACTTTAAAAATTACCTTGCCACATAAGAATGGGCAGTTTTCTTTTAATTGTCAACGGTGTGGGTAATTTTGCATTGCTTTTGCGGATATTTAGGGACTAGGGAGGTGTTAAGTAATATTTAAGTATGTACACCTGCACGTGTGTACGTGCAATATCTATATTTTATTTAGTTGTTTATTTCTTCCTACCCTCTTGCTATACAAAGAGGGGAACCTTGTTATTGGATTGTTCAGAAAAGCTGGGCATATTAATTGTTTGTTTGCTTATGAACTGTTTATAAAACTAAAGAAGTGATTTGGTGTGGTAATTCATACTTTGTTGTGGTTATTGGCTTTTAGTTGGAGGCACTTTCCACTGATTGGAATTGGAAATCAAACCAAGTGATTGTTTGCCTAAATTTAACATCCGCTCTTTTGCCAATATGTTGGTATAATGATTAATAGATATAGGTCTTGTTGCTTTTTACGCTTTGTCTTTTTAGTCTCATGGGAACTGTGCGGAGAATATTTATTAAAACCCTAGTTATCTTGTCTAACTTTTGGGCATGGATTTATGGAATGTGAACTGCTTATTAATTGATGCTTTTATCCTCTACGTTTACTGTGCAAAATTTCTGTCCTTGGACCTTTTTCCTTTGCAGCAAGAGGGGCCTCCACTTGCATAGAAATCATGCCAATTATCTCTTAACTAATTTTGATATTCTTTAAATTTTCTACACAAATTATTAATTAGTTTTAGATGTTTTCTTTTTAGCAATATGGTGATATTAGAACCCTCTATACTGCATGTAAGCATCGGGGGTTTGTAATGATATCCTACTATGACATCCGTGCTGCTCGAACAGCTATGCGTGCATTACAAAATAAACCGCTGCGGCGGAGGAAACTTGACATTCATTTCTCAATACCAAAGGTTTTTGAGCAACTTTACTGCCCTCATGTTTTGTCCTTTAATTAAGTGATCGCCATAAGAATCATTTTTTTGGGTGCATCCCAGGATAATCCATCAGACAAGGATATAAATCAAGGAACTTTGGTGGTTTTTAATTTGGATCCATCTGTTTCAAATGAAGACCTTCGACAAATATTTGGGGCTTATGGCGAGGTCAAAGAGGTGATGATTAATCCCTTTCTATTGTTGTACTTCCTGGTTGCATTTTTTATAACTTGGGAGTTAATAGATAATAACTTGACATTTCTACAGATAAGGGAAACTCCTCACAAGAGGCACCATAAATTTGTTGAATTTTATGATGTCAGAGCTGCAGAAGCAGCACTTAAATCATTGAACAGGAGTGATATAGCAGGTAAACGCATAAAGCTGGAACCTAGTCGTCCGGGTGGAGCTCGTCGAAAGTGCGTATACTTCTAAAGTGACTTCTGATTTAATTTTATTTTTCATAACTTATTTCCTTGTTATCTGCTTTCTCTCAGCATTGCAATCACTTGATGCATTGATTGCTAATTTTCTCTCCTGTGATTTGTGGGTTAATGCAAAAAGTGATTGAGGCCTGTTGAATTGAGTGGCTTAATAACAGTGAGACAGCTGAATACTCTTCTGAAACTGCTATCATATGATATCTGTAATTACTTATTATTATTAAAATTTTTACTTGCCATCTGTGTGTATTATTGGTTTTATCATGTATTTGGTTATCAAACTTTATTTTTCCTCTGACAAGGATGGCAAAATGACGCCCTATTTAGAAAGCCGTATCACATTGGTTAAACAAACATATAATGGTCCAGGCTTGTTGGTCAAAGGCTAGGAACAGGCTCAACTAGAGAGTAACTGGGGATTGCCTTGATCCTACTATAGAGGCTAGAGCTATTATGTAGTTTCTTTTCTTTCTTTTTTTAAAAAAAGTCTTCAAGTTGCAATTACTTGGTTGGGATCTGACATGATTAGAACTAATTAGGCCCTGGCTAGGGGTTAGATAACCTGGTCTTCAAATCTGGTTGATTGATTATGGGTTTGGGATATATCAATGCCAAAGTTGAATGCATGGTTTATGTGGGGGTTGAAAGTGGGAAATCAAAAGGCATCTCTCTGGTGGGTTGGGCATGGGAACGTTCATGACTGCTTTTCTTGGCCTTGTTATCATCACCAATTATGCCTGTGTAATTTCAGTGTATTTGCATTCCTTAATTTGTTGCTTCATAGCTACTAGATTGATGATTGATGTTTAAATATCAATTGATAATAACTTGTATCTTCTAGTTTGATGCTCCAACTAAATCAAGATCTTGATCAAGATGAATCTCGAAATTTCCGACATCAAGTGGGTTCACCTGTAGCCAACTCTCCACCAGGTAGGTCCCTCGAGATGCTAAAAATCTATTGTGTCATTTTGTTTTTATTGCATTGAATTTTCTCCACCATCATTGTGTTCCCTCTGCAATTGTGATCTCTATTATGGAATGAAGTTAATAATGCAATTATAACAGGTAACTGGTTGCAGTTTAACAGCTCCATTGAACTTAAGCCAATGCAATCTATCAGTAATTCTCCTGGTTCTAGGATCATGAGCCCAACAACTGGCAGCCATTTGCCAGGATTAGCTTCAATCTTGCAACCGCAAGGATCTAACTCTATAAAGGGTGCAGCCATTGGCAAGGACCTAGGAAGGAGTAGTCATGGAGATCACATGTTTAATAGTACCAATTCATCACATGGAGCCACATTTCAATCTCACTCACTTCCAGAGCCATCATTCAGCCAATATCATGGAGCTTTGTCCCCTTTTGGCCCATCAAGTTCAAATGGATCTTCTGTGGAAACCTTGTCTGGGCCTCAGTTTCTTTGGGGTAATTCGAGCTTATACTCTGAGCACACCAAACCTTCACCTTGGCCTAGACCATCTGTAGGGCCCCCATTCACATCGAATGGAAAGAGTCACGGCTTCCCATACTCTGGTCAGAATGGTTCCTTTGTTGGATCGTCCCAGCATCATCTTCACCATCATGTAGGCTCTGCTCCATCAGGTGTTCCATTTGAGAGACGCTTTGGTTTTCTTCCTGAATCACCTGAAACCTCATTTATGAATCATGTTGGTTATGGAGGCATAAATATGGGACACAGTGATGGAAACTACATGGTTAACATGGGTGGATCTGTTAATGCTGGCATTACTATAGCAAGGAATATGTCTGAAAATGTGCAATCAAACTTTAGAATGAGATCCTCTCCGAGGCTTAGCCCTGTGTTTCTGGGTAATGGTCCTTACTCAGGGCTTCCACCCACTGCCTTGGACGGTTTGACTGATCGTGGGAGGAGTAGACGGCTAGAGAACAATGGTAACCAAGTTGATAGCAAGAAGCAATTTTTGCTCGACTTGGATAAGATAAAAAGTGGTGAAGATGCAAGGACTACTTTAATGATAAAGAATATCCCAAATAAGTATGAATCGTTTTAGGCTATTTGTTGAAATCTTTCTATTGGATGCGTGGATGATTGATGTATTGTTGATATTTTGCAGGTACACTTCAAAAATGTTACTAGCTGCCATTGACGAAAATCACAGGGGCACCTATGATTTCCTTTATCTGCCTATTGATTTTAAGGTATGTACTGGGTTTTTTTTTATAAGCCATGTGTCTAAGAAAGAAAAATGTATTGATGAGACTATTGGTAGAAAAGAGGACAAGAAGTCCTCCTCCTTAGATGAAGAAATTATGGATTCATTAGTAAACATAGCTTTCCAGTCTCTTTGCGAATCCGCTAGGGAAATCCCAGAAAGGGGGAAAAAAATTACAGATTCATTAGCAAAAAAGAGCTTTCCGATTTCCCTCAGTCCTTTATACATTGGCTGAAATTGATAGAGGCCAGAAGACAATGATTGTCTCCCAAATCAGACGTATAGGGGAAAACTTTTGATTGGTCACTTGTTGCGTGCTAACCAAAGACTCCACAAAACAGCTAGCTTAGCGCATGGCCAAAGTGCTTTCTGCTCTTTCTTCAAGGGAAGCCCAGTTTATTTGATGGTCGAAAAAAACCTGCTCTGATTAGGTGGATACACCAAATCCTTCTGAAAATTTCCAAGCAACATGTCCAACATTGCCAAGCTATCTCACTGTGTAAAACAATTTGTTATTTATTGTAGAATCCCAAAAATACGTTACACAAGAATATGGAGAAATAGGCACATTGGGTTTTAAACTTGAAGCAGATGTTTTGTAATATTCTATTAAGTATAGCACTCCAAACAATTGGAGGGCGCCTTGGACTTGCAAAAAGATTGAGAGAAAGAAAACCAATGCCCATTCAGACTTGAATAAAAATCTGATAAAAGAGCCAGAATAAACAGAATTCAACTCCTGATCCTTTTAATGGGAGAAGTGGAAACACAAAGCGGAGCAAGGGTTGCCTACAACGAAGCAAAGATTATAAATAATTCTCACATTTTAAGTTTCCGGAGAAGTGAAAATTATACAAGGTCTCATCGTTACTAGCCATATATATTGCTCATCTAGCTATTCTGGTCTCCAGTTTCTTTTAATCTAGCGAAGCTTATATATATTTGTGCTGTGGATGCAGAATAAGTGTAATGTGGGCTATGCATTTATCAACATGCTATCACCCTCTCTTATCATTCCATTCTCTGAGGTATAAGAAATATCATAGAAGCTTTTTTGCACAATTCTATTTCATTGTCCCGAGTTAAAGTTGTATTGTTGACTCTACTTTTCCAATTTCATCTGAACATCTCATAAATTTTAATATAGTGGTAATGTATTCCTTGCATTTATTTAAAATAGGAAAAAATAAGATAAAAAAAAAGAAAAAGAAAAATGAACTATTAGGAAAGAGATGCTTCATCTTTAACTATGTAGTTGTATGTGGGAAAACAGTAGAAGGTTCACTTTGCGCCTGATTTTGTAGACATTCAATGGAAAGAAGTGGGAGAAGTTTAATAGCGAGAAAGTTGCTTCTTTGGCATACGCTCGAATCCAAGGAAAGGCTGCCCTTGTGAGCCACTTTCAGAATTCAAGTTTGATGAATGAAGACAAGCGGTGCCGCCCTATTCTCTTCCACTCTGAGGGTCCTGAAGCTGGGGATCAGGTAATATTATTAGCATTTATTAATGATATGTACGGGGAAATCATTAAAAGAACATAATTTGTGTTTTCTTTATTTTCTCTGTACCTTAAAATGGTTATAGTTTTATCTTTTCCCCTCTTTTGATCAACTTATTCTGTCTACTGAAGTAATAGCAGCTTGGCAACTAAATAAGTTAATCAATGTCTTCATAATGGCCTAACTGCAATGGCTTTCTGTACCTTAAAATGGTTATAGTTTTATCTTTTCCCCTCTTTTGATCAACTTATTCTGTCTACTGAAGTAATAGCAGCTTGGCAACTAAATAAGTTAATCAACGTCTTCATAATGGCCTAACTGCAATGGCTTTAAACTCCTGTAGATCGTACAAGAACATCTTCCCTCCAACAATCTCAACATCCAGCTCTTCAGGTCAACTGATTCACATTTGAATGACTCTCCTGGAAGCCCCCACCAGGATAAGCCTCCTGTGAACTTGGAGACAACTTAACTTTATGCTAGATGCATAGTTGCTGAAGCCCAACTTTTGGTGGCTGTTAGCAATTTTTTGCATATATGTGTATTTAGGAAGGAATAACAGGAACGTGTAGATTATATATTGTAGTTATTCTCCGAAGTATTTTGCTAGAATTTGCTGCACATATAGCAGGTCTGATATAATACTAAAAGGAGGGTGGCATTAGCTTAAGAGCTGAGTGAACTGAATTTCCTTTGCGGAAGGTGTTTCTCCATTTTTGCTGATTTTTGTGATTGGTGGGTTTGTCATTGGATATATTATGAAGATGTTCATATTAGTTAGGGGTTGATATCTTGAGAGTTGGCAAGTTGACTTTGGGGGTACAAATTGTATAGAGGGAGATAAACAGACTTCGTTCTTTAATGTATTGGCACTCTTGAAATTAAATTGTGGAGTGCGTATCGGATATTACTATTTAAGGCATTCAAAGAATAGATCTATGCTAATTAGTTCCCAAGACTTTTGCTACTCTGTTTTGATACTGTTAGTGCTCGATTGGATTTTAGTTTATTTGACATTAGCATATTTCATATGCGGTTTGAATGTTTTTTTTTTTTTAACACCATGGTTTGAATGTACTTTTAAAAGATACTCAAATAGTTTATTAGTCTTCTCAGTGATGTGCGATAGGGATCTACAAAATTTAAAATTCCACATTTCCTGTTCATGACTCGGATTGAATTAGAATGAACCCCAAAGATCCTTTAGTAACCCGATCATGTTATAAGTTTAGTCCTGTACATTGACATTGACGTTTTCTTTTATTTTTTTGATATTTAAGAATGATTTTTAGTACAGGCTTGCTACAACGTTCTAATTATTGTACTGGTTCGTTTTGTTATGCCTACTCCCTGTCCAGTGCTGATAAGTGAACAATAAATCGTGAGAGTCGACATCATTGCCAATATTAAAGCAGAAGCTTAATTTGTTGAACAAACCCCATCCCCCCTCATTGTCGCAAAAAGGAGAAAAAAAAAGGGGGGAAAAATTTCCCCAGTTTTGAACTGAAATGATCCATAGTTATAAAGAATCCCTCTTGATTTTCACTAAAAAGTTCGAACTTGAATCAAACCTAGAAGATGAAACCAACTCAGATGGGTAATGCAGCATATTTTTCTTATTTTCTTGGTAAAGAGGTTATTACGACTTATTTAAATAGAAAGTAACATTAGAAAACTTATATTTCAAAAACAAGTATAGGGCATCTTTTACCCCCTGGGTGTGGGATAACAACCCGCTACACACGTATTATGCCCGAGCCACAGAAGAAAGGCATATTCGCTGATTGCCTCCACAGCTATGCCTTTTTCTTGAACCATGTGATAGAGATGGATAGAACCCAGTAAAGAAATTGGCGCTAACCTTTAACACGCTTGTCTCTTCTAGCAAATTCGTTTTCCTTCATTTTCTGGCTCTAAATTTAAGATCAATAAGGAAGTAGCACTTGTTATGTTCTCTTACATAGTGAAAACGACCATTCATCCTACTGAGGATTTTCCGGGACATACGTAGCCCTAGACCTTCCTGTGTAGTCCATTGATCCTCTGCTTCATTCCCGAAGAACAGCAGAAGGAAGACCTTGACCTGCATGTGTCATTCTAGACCGTCAAGATGGTAAAATGAGAGGGTCAGTATACAACTCCATATAAATCAACTGCTATTTGATGCTTTCCTTTAAAGAAACCACCATAGTAATTAGATGTGACGTATATGTATATGTACAAGTAACAAGCTTGCTTGCATGGATTTTGGAAGGTTTCGTCCGTATTATCTGCTTTCTAGATACCCTAAAGTTGAATGAAATTCAGCAAAAATTAAAATTTGCAATGATGACTACTATTAACTGTTAGAACAGAAAAAAGGAAAAAAAAAAAAAAAAAACCAGTACGTAGCAATATGACTCGTTCATTTCTGTTACCCTAGATTTAGTTATCTGCAGCTTTGACTAAATTTAAATTTCCATGGCGAAGTACAGTGGATATGCAATTTAAATTGAAGGAGCGCGTGAACATGGACTGGATATTGTCCGGGAAACTTAAATGTAGAAATTCATATCCACTAATAGAAGGTTGATACAGATTTTGGAGTTGGACTTCACTTGTCAAGAAGGTTAAACGTCAAAAAATAAATCCATAATTGATAAGACATGCAGGCAGCAAGCGAAAGCATAAAATAAGTAATTATATATAAATTTTACTCGCCAAAGAAAAGGGACAATCAAATATTCGAATCTCATATAGTACATTATCATATTGTAAACAAATCATTATAGGGGCTAAGGAGAAAAAGTGGCAGCCAACAAATTAACCATCTGTTTGTGATCAAAAGACATAAAATTCTTAGTCTCTGTACCTGAGCTGCAGATGGATAAACCCGTCACCATCTTGCATTATCTTTGAACCAGGTGAAATCTTGATTTCTATCCAGCCATTAGGAGATGGTGTATGGCTCGCCACATTAAGCAAAATGTCAGACAGGACCACTTGAAGCCTAATTTGATCACCGTATAGAGTAAGTGGCTTGATATCATCAGGAATTTCATGAAATAGCTGCAAGTTTTCCCCTCTTATCAAGATCATGACTTGGCTGACAATAGCCTCTAATATATTTCCCAGAAGAAATTCTTCATCGTTTAGCTTCGTGGTGCTGCTATCAATAGAATTAGATGTGAACTTAGGAACACTAGTTAATTTGTATGTACAAAATTAAGCATATATGTAGTAAGAACACAGAGCATTGATAACTAATGGTATTCCAAACGCCTACGCTAAGAAGTGAACAAACAGATTTTTTTTGAGCAAACAAAATAATAATCTCAGAGAACTCGTGCCTTTCGGAGAGCAAGACCACTTACCCCTTGTCAATGCTTCCTAAATCTGTGTTCTCAATAATGGACATGATCTGTCTCTCACATGCATTGCAAGTAACAAGAAATTGTTTTTGATTTTCTGAGACAGCTGTATTCTCCAAGAGTTGGTGTGTGAAGCGCATACCATTTAAAGGATTTTTCATCTCTTGACGCATATAAGCCAGCTCCTTAAATTTAGAAAAGCTCGCATTACCCTCTGACTTTTGTCCTTCCAACTGTGGATACGAGGGTGTGTTTAGATTAAAAAATGTATGATTGAGGTTAGATAAAAAGTTAGTTAATGTAATATAATTTATATTTGGATATATTTTTTTTAAAGTTAGTTAGATAAACTGAAATTTATTTAGATGATTTGATTCAAAAGTCAGTTGAGATGTTTAATGACAAAAATAAGTATGAATTTTTTTACCTTAAATATTAAATCTTAAATAAGGATGTTTATATTTTTTGACCAACTAATAAGTAAAAAATTTAAATCACAACTAATAAGTAAAATATCTTAAATATTCAATCACAAAAAATAAATTAATATTCAAGTGATATGATGTACAAATTGATCTCTAATTATATTACGAACACGTTGCATCTGTCGTGATGATCCGAATAGATTTGATGAGGATGCCTCACCAATATCGATATCTTTTCATGGACATCTACACTTTCATCTTCAACTTGTATGAATTGCTCATTAGTAATTGAATTTTTCCTAATAAAGTTATGCATTACCATTGTTGCACAAACAATTTGAACTTTTTTTTTATTTTTAAATTTGGGCATGTTTGTATAATTGCAAACCTATTCTTCTACACTCCAAAAGTTCTTTTTATAGTGTATCTCAAACTTGAATGATAATAATTGAAGACCTCATTATTATTTGCAAATCCTGCAACTCACTTGAAGTCTAGAAGGTGATAACGTTTGCAACGATATGGACCAAGATACTCATTTAATGTTAGATAACCAAAATCAACTAAATAATATTCACCTATTAAATAAAAGGAAGTGTTGTAAATCTTACCAACATTAAATCAGTACAATAATAATTATAATAACTTTAATAAAATATACTTGGAGGTGGATGCAGAAAATGCATTGAAGGAGTTGATAAGGTATTATCAAACACTCGAGCATCATGAGCTGTACCTTCCCATCCTACAATGACAAAAGTAAAACACATGTCCCAATCACATATAGCCATGACATTTTATGTTGCATATGCCTTTCTTTCAATAAATTTGATTTGATCAGCAGCACTAACCACGCATGGCACATGAGTGCCATCAATTGCTCCTATAGCATCCTTAAAGAATGCCCAATAACGTAGATCATTTTGAATTTTCGAATGATATCGTTGAAACAAAGGATCAAATGGCTTTATGTTTTCCTTGGAAAGGTCAAGGCAAGCAGCTAATACTTTATGAAAATTTCCATGGACAGTTTTCCCTGAATGTTGAAACCATTCCTGTATCATCCTATTACCAACTCTATGCCCAACTGTATTTAAAAACATTCCAACCATTTCTTTAACTCTCATTTTTTTAGATTTCTTTAGACCAAAATCAACTAGTGTTGTGCATAGTTACCTAAACAAATGTTTTTTCATTCGAAACATTTCATAACAACGATTAGGATGACCTTGCAAAATCTTATTAACCCATATTTGCCCTATTTGCCTACTAGTTCTCCGTGGCTCTTTACACACATATGGCATCACATATTCACTAACTAATTGACATATTTCTTCTTGCTTAGTTATATCTTGTTGTAATAAGGGAAGTAGTTGATGAGCCACATCTACATCCCAACTTTCATTCTAACCTAACATATATTCATTGGAATCTTCCATGATTTTTCAATTTAAGGTAAAATAGTATGTAAATATCATTTGTATATAATATAAAATACATAGTATATAAATATCATTCAACAACATAAAAATAAAGCATAAGATAAGCATTAGATAAGAGTTAAATATTCACTACAAACCAAGTCATTGTAAGCATAGCAAACTACAAGTCAAAATAAAGCAATTACTACAAGTCAAAGACAAGTCAAGTCATCATAAGTCTATATAAAAGTTCATCTAGATATATTCTTTGAAATAAAATCTGGTAAATGGTAGACTTGGTGCTTTAACCAATTGATCAAGTGATTGGGATGATCTTTAAGTTGCAAACAAGTATCTCGTATAGGCTTGTACAGAACAAGATTGACACATCTGTAATGCAAATCTTTATCACCGAAAACTTCTAGAAGTCCATTTAGGTGAGCCACCACCTTGGAAACTCCTATGTCATTTGCCAAAATCTTGTTCACTGTCTCTGTTCTAGCTCTATTATCTTTAGCTATTTCACTCATCACATCTGCTATTTTCATTAAGCAGGGACTTTTTGCTTTTTCCTCCCACCAACTCCCTCAACCCTCTTTCTCTTGCCTTGACTTCCATCACCACTAGTTCCATTGATATTTGTGGTGACATTTAGGCCTAACAACTCATCAATGACCCCCGTAGGTGCTGCAGTGTCAGATAAATTTAGCTCCTCTTTATTATCACTGAATCCTTCTTGAAGGTCAATGGTGGGAAGGTA